AGGAAATCACTTAATGTTGATGTCATAATTAATGTGTATCTACATTATACAATGCATATCCAATTAGGTAGCTGTAATACAACAAAATGAACTACTGAAACATGCAACAAAAAGATGAATCTCAGAATTATACTGTTTGCAAAAGCCAAACCAAATATCTTTGTGATCTATAATTTCATACACAATGATACCATAGGGATAGGTATTCAGACACATCAAATGGACACCAAGGAGCCTGAGAACATCTTTCAGTGAAGGTAATTATCTTGGTTGGCTCTTGGTTATATAACTACATATGCTTGTAAGAACACAGTGGTACGTCTTTAAGAAGCTGAATTTTGTACTGGGGAGAAATCAGTAATTGCCACACAATCAAGAGGACCAATGTTCATTCATCAGATTCTGTGCAAAAAAACCAGCTGTGGCACCATGCACCAGTAACAGAGACAGAGACAAGATGATTGGGGCTTACAGCAAGCCTGTCTAGCAGAACTGATGACCTCCAGGGTTGCTGACTATATCAGAACAAGACAGAGAGAGATTAAGGAAGACACTTTGCAGGTGTCATCCTCTGTCATCTACAAGCATGTAAACCAATATGCACTATAGGAACACACACAAACACACATACACACATTTACACATACATACACACTCACACATACAAACACATATACACACACATACATACACCCTCAGTCAATGGTGACTTTTCACTACAGGGGAATTATATCTTAAGAAAACTGAAAATAAGAGTCAAATAAGTTACTGGAAAAACACACATGTGACAGACAAAGGCATAAAACAAAGAAGGCACAAAAACTGTCCCTACAGAAGACCTGGAGTCTGTTCCCAGAACTTACATTGTCACTTACTTACAAAACTCTGTCACTCCAGTTTCAGGTTGTCTGACACCCTATCCCGGCTTCCAAGAGTATCAGGCATACACATGGTACACACACAAACATACAGGCTGATACGCATGCACAAAAGAAAAATAAATATATCTTCTAAGAGGTAGGTGTAAGGAAGGAGTGAGTTTATGGGAAAATGCATAAAAAGAAAAGAAGAAAGTCTCAGTGTGATAGGGTCAGAGTTCAAATAAGCCAGTCTAAGTCCATGGCAAACATCCTTCTGGCAGCAACAACGAAATATTTAAAATCACAAATACCCAGTAATCTCACCCTGAGGTATGTATATACCCTAAACAGTAGATTCAGGCACTCACGCAAAGCACAATCTATAGAAGTGAAAATCAAAAACAGCAGGTTGATAAATGTAAAGCAGGCTGTTTCATGTGGAAGAACTCTACATAGTAGAAACCGGAGAAGCTGGTGCATGTAATGCATCAAAGTAGTTCTTTGCATGGTCTACATTTCAGTCACTGGGTTCAAATTCCACCCCTGTTACTAGCTACTCAGGTGACCTTCGGAAATTTGCTCAACCTGTTTTTGTCTTGGCTTTTTAAACTATAAAGTAACCATAAAACGGCATGCATCTTGTAGGCTTAGCCATGGAAATTAAGTGTTCTATGATTAATAATGAAGTGTTAAGTGGTTAGGCTGATTCTTTAACATGCCAGTGTAATGATGACAAATAAATGTGAAATAGGTACATATTCTAAGTATGATTGTGATAGTTTCAATATGAGATGAAAGTTACATATGCATGCTAAACGTGGCAACATATTATAAAGAAAGCAACAATACCAATAGCAACTGTATGAATTTATATGTGTGCGTATTAATTTCTTTGAAGTCCATTTAAAATCAAATGTACTACTCTTATTATCTTTGGAAAACTGAGAAAGAATCAGACCAAAGCTGGCCCACGTAGGACTACTTTCTCTGATGTCTAACCTATTTTGTTTAAAGGAGAGAGAAGAGATGATGCAATTGAGGTCAAAGGCTGAAGTTTTGAGAAAATACTTTCCAGAAAACTCTAGACTTTGTTGTGTTACTTCATGGGATTTTATGTAGCCACCTGAGATTCTTCAAGTGACTTGCATGATGTAAGCACAGGCTCTTAGAAGCAGATGTGCAAAAGAAGCAGCTTGGAAACTGGTTCCATTTTCATATCAAACACATAATGAGTGAAGTGTGACTCAGGACATGCATGGGATCTGCTTGGAGCAAGAAGGGCCATGTCAAGGAGGAGCTGTGGGTGCCCGAGAGGACTTGAGAGGACCTTGGGGAAAGCCCAAGTGGGGCCTGAGAGGGAACACAAGAGCAGGGCCTGTGACTCTTTATGGCCCTTTGTTCCATCTATGTCAACTGTGCTTTCTCCATGCTCATCCCCTGGGTTTTATGTGTTGACTCATGGTGACACCATAAACTCTAGGGTGTTAGCATACAGAAAGCACAGTAGGGAACCGGATTTGTTATGAGAAAGAATCTCCTAAGTTTTGGCAGCAAGATGCTTTTCTAGGTATTGAGAAGTCAGTTTCGGGGAAATAAAAGTAAATACACAAGGGAAATACACAGGGATTTGAGCACGGGTATTCTATTCATTTTGTTATTGCAGAATTTTGTCTAATTTGAAAATTTTTTCTTTAATTTCTAAACAATACCACAATAAGAAATTGTTGGATTGAAGGCTAATTGGCTTATGTAGTGATCTGGAAAATGACAATTTTGTAAATAGTTCAAGTGACAAGCAACTTTTGACTAGTGGCAAGGTCAAGGGTGTTAGTGTTTGTTTTAACGTAGTATTTCTCAAAAAAATGGGGGAAGGGCAGGGAAAAAGTGGTAAGAACGGAGGGAGAAAAACAGAAGGTATTTTAATATTGTTCTTTATTCTTTGAGCATTTCATATTGTATGCAATGTATTTTGAAATGTACTAACTCTCCCCTTCCCCAGATCTCCTTCCCCTATTCCCCCTTTCAACATTATGCCCATAGTTAGATAGATGTATAGAGAGATATAGAAAGATAGATGATAGACAGATAGATAGATAGATAGATAGATAGATAGATAGATAGATAGATGATAAAGAGACCATTAAGTCCAAAATTAATGCTACCCAGATATAGCATTTTTTCCTTACTTATCTGGAGAGGTACGGTTTTTTTTCTTAAACATTTTGCCTGCCTATAGAGAAAGTGTAGAGTGCCTTAGTGTTTCCAGGGTCTGCTTTGGAGCTATTAAAACTGCATTACTTCCATTCAGAAGGACATATTTATCAGCATTTATGATTTGGTTATTAACACATCAACCAAGTGTACATATAACTCTAATGAAAAATAATAATTTAATTACAAATGAGTGGAGGCAGCATTAATTAGAATTGATTTATATCCAAGTAATCCTAATGTTTATTTTCCAATACAGGTAGCTGGCTTGGAAAGCAGGAACTTTGAGATATTAAGAACTCTCTCAGAATTCTCTGCCCCCCCCCCAGCTTCTACTAATAATAGAAAGGTACTTCTAGATCTAAAGGCATTCACACCTGGCATTAGGGGAGGGCCACATGCTGAGAATGGCACTCACTGCTTTGGGAAATTCAATAGGTGTTCTCTTAGAAAGCACAGTGTATTTTACTCAAGTGAGTCAGAATGGTGGCCTAAGCATTGCACAAGGTCACTTTGTGTGATGCATGCCACCCTTTGGATTCTGCATGGGAGAGATAATAATAAAACAAAGTAAGTAAAGTGCTCTGAAGAGTGTGCGTGCTTGGCATAAGGCAAATTAATTCCCAGGCATTTAAGGGGCCTCTATACAATGACAGTTGGGAATGTCATCTCCCTTAGCTAAGCCCCATAAAATGTCAGGCTCAGAAGAAGACAAATGGGCTCAAAGCAAACAAGAAGCTGGTGTCCCCATTAATCTGATTATGGATTTTCCAGTCATTTTCTTTCTGTAGCTAGAAAATAAACTATTCTTGAAATGTGTAAAAATAACTGAGGCATTAGAATTCCCCTGTTGGATACCTATTCAATGCAAATATTACCAGGAAAGATAAATAAGACTTTTATATATTAGTATAATCAAGCTAAATAGTTTACTTTTTGTGACAACTTAGAGTTGAATTTGCAGAGCTTGAAGACTGGCTCTACTTGAGGAAGTCACAGTTAAGGATTAAGTCTTCTGCCTGCTGAGATTCTAGGCAAGAGTAGTTTAAGCTATTCAAAAACATGGTTAGCCAGACTTTGCTTGAATATATACTTGACTCTAAGAACTGAAGGTAGTAATTTTAGAAAACAAATAGCAATCCCTGAAATTGCATTTTAAGTATATATACATGATGCCATTCAAGAATGTTCCCTTCTACCAAAATAATAAAAGAAAATAAATTTGCACAGACATACATGATTAAGGTTGTAAACTACAAAAGAGTCTCATCAGCAAAATCTATGAAGATTTTTCTCCTTAAGTCCCTAGCTATTGTTTCTTCAGTGACCATGGTATGCGAAAGCTCTGTACTGAGGAAACCATTAATAGAAACCCCACAGCTGGTGTTCTTAATTATCAGTTCTACATGGCAGAGGGGGGCTTATCTGACAGTTCATGAAAACAAACAGAAGAAACAAAATACAGCATTTGAGGACTTCCATTACAGTGTGCTGTGGTAAACAAAAGAGACAAATGATTTTGAGTAGTAACCTCTGAGTATTTTTAGTGTCTTAATGAAACGAAGATAGAATTTATGTAATCCTTCTACCAGGACAGAGTCTCCATAAGTTCATGGGTAATGAGAGGATACTTGGAAATGTGATCAACTGTAGCACTGAGCTTCAAACCACAGCAAATTCCAGGGTGAAGAAACTATGAGTGTCTTCTTACTGTGTGCCACAAGTGATTAAAGTGCAATTAATATATGAATGTATGATAAATTAGACTTAATAACCCAGGGAAATATTTTCATGGGAAGGGTGAATGGAGCCTATGGAATGTGGACACACCCAACATGAGAGGATATATAACTCGAGGTTCAAACCGTGACATTCAAAGCCACAGCATTTTCTCACTGACACCTAGCTCATTTCACGTCTCCTCTCAGTATGTCCTACAGCTGCTGTTCAGGAAGGTTCTCCTCTAGATCCTATGGAGGTCAACTGAACTACCCCTACTCCTCCTGTGGCTCTTCCTACCCCCACCACCTGAACTTCAGCACTAACTTCTGCTCTCCCAGAACCTACCATCTGGGATCATCTCTCCACAGCGGCTGTCATCAGAACTGCTTCCGGCCCATCAGATGCCAGACTTCTCACGTGGTGCACAGCTCCTGTCAGCGGCCTTGCTATCGCCCAAGGGTGTCCAGCTTCTGCAGCCCCTGTAGGACCACATATCCTGGCTCTCTCGGTTTTGGGTCCAGCAGCTGTCACTCCCTGGGATATGGGTCTAGAAGCTTCTACACTTCAGGCTGTGGCCTCAGTGGCTTCAGACCTGTGAGTTATGGAGTCCGAGGCTATCCTTCCTTTGGTTATAGATCTGGATTCTGCCACCCAACCTATGTGACTTCTAGAAACTACCATTCTTCTTGTCACAGGCCCACCTGTTGATCAGCTATCTAGAGATCAAGTTGCTGAACTTCCAGATTATAAGTGAATTGTCTGAGTTAACACAGTGCTTTTCCAGTAAGACTAACTAATGTCTCTCCAAATCCCTTCTCTGGCAACACTAGGTCTATTCAACTAAGAAGTGAATGAATAACCAAATATAAATTCAAGTGTCTTGTGATTACCTATTCATAAATTCTTGGACTGTGTATGGGAGTTCAGTTATATTTGACCCAATAAAATTATTTTTCTTGCACCTAATACAGTCTCCTGATTCTTTGTTGACTTTCAAGTTTTGATTTGTGATCTATGTTTGAGACTAGGTGCTTTCAGACCACCTTCCCTAGGAAATCGATTTACATAAGACATTGTATCAAAGTTGGTACATAGAGATATATTTATGTGCATTCCACTAACTCTAAGATGATAGGTAAAAGCCTACTGGAATATTCAGCAGTATCATTAAAAATATGCCCACAGAAGAGTGAGCAGACTCATATTCTCAATTAGATATTATGCTGACAATCAGAGTTGGCTATTAGCTTGCATGTTCTACCCTAAGAAGCATTGAACTAGATAGTGAAATCTTAAAAAAAAATACATTAAATTTTGAAAAAAACACCATCATGTATTGACATGACAAGGAAAAACATGGAATATAAGACAGTATAAATTATTATGTGTTTATCTTTGAGTATGTGAGAAAAATAATTTTGCCATGTGTGAGACAGAGATAGAGAGACAAAGACAAGACTGACATAATGGTGAAAACTAAGGAAGAATTTTTTGGAGGCATAGATTGTCTTGGACCAGAGAAATCTATGAAGCTGTCCCTCAGTATTTGCGAAAAATGGGCTTCAAGATGCCCCATAGGTATCAAAATACATGCATGATGGTATTTCTTTTCTTCTTCTTCTTCTTCTTCTTCTTCTTCTTCTTCTTCTTCTTCTTCTTCTTCTTCTTCTTCTTTTTTTCTTTTGGTTTTTCGAGACAGGGTTTCTTTGTGTAGCTTTGGGGCCTATCCTGGCACTAGCTCTGGAGACCAGGCTGACCTCAAACTCATAGAGATCTGCCTGCCTCTGCCTCCCGAGTGCTGGGATTAAAGGCGTGTGCCTCCAACACCTGGCTACATGATGGTATTTCTTAAGTAAAATGATGTGTTTTCAAGTGACACATATACTTCTTTCCATTAACTTTAAATCACATCTAGGCTACCCATAATACCCAATGAAATAATAATAGTATACTTTCAGAAATTTACACAAGAATTTATGCATATGTAACAGCAATGCATTTTTATATATTTAAATCCATGATTGCAAGATTCAATGAATATGGGACTCCCAGATACATAGAGTAGTTATATTTAGAAATTATAAGTGTATAGAATCAATACTATTGTTTAAGTTCTTTGGGGGTTATTGAGTCCCTCAGAACTCAGATGCATGGTTCATTCTTTTTCTGAATGCTTAAGAAGTAATATTGCATTATCATTGATATTCTAAATCTAAATAGCTGTCTACATCTTTCTGGGATGCACTCAGCCACAGCAATGAGGATAAAAATAAGTAATTATAGCACACTCTTGACATCTGTGCAACACCCTAATGATCCTTTTAACTTTAGGCAAGTTGTTTTATCAGCTAAGCATGATGGGAAAATGAAATAGAAAGATTCCCATGCCATAGTTAGTAATTTTATTCAAAGATAGGAATGGTATTGCAAACAAAAGTCATTGACTATCATGTGACTATTTACTGATTTGTCTTCCCTAATATAATGTCTTTAACCACTTATAAATGGAACTTGCAAAAGAGAGCTTATTTTTTCTGACAGTAAAACAAAAATAGGATAAGTGTGGAATTGTGAGAGCCAGGCCTTCTGGCTCAGAATTAAAAGACAAACAGATGGAAGACAGGGACCATGAGGGAAGGTCATGGAGATAGGAGCTTCTGCTTCCCCTGGTCCCTTAACTCACTGTTCATGTGTTTGGGTTTTGTGGGCCAACAAACTCCTTTTTCAATTTTTTTATTTTTACAAAATTATAATTTCACATGTCAATCCCTTCTCCCTCTTTCCCCAACCCCCCTGCTAGCTCCCTCCCCCCTCCACTCCCCATAGAGGGTAGGGCCCTCCACGGGACTCCCCAGATTCCACAACATCATCCTGGGCTGGACCTAGGCCCTCCCCATGTTGGATGGGCTCTCCAAGTCCCTTCTTATACCAGGGAAAAATACTGATCCACTACGAGAGGCCCCATAGGGTACTGAGGCCTCCTCGTTGACATCCACTTTCAGGGGTCTGGATTAGTCCCATGCTGGTCTTCAGACAGCAGACTGGGGGCCATGTGCTCTCCCTTGTTCAGGTCAGCTGTTTCTGTGGGATTCACCAGCCTGATCCCAACCCCTTTGATCATCATTTCTCCCTCTCTGCAACTGGGTTCCAGCAAACTCCTTTCTTTTAAAATAATCTCACCCAACTAAAACAAACAAACAAACAAAGATCTGCAGAGTCTGCCTTTCCGCCGACCAGGAACGAGGTGAGTGAGCCTCTGCCCTTACCCAACCCCTGCCCAACCCCAGTCCAAACCATCATTCACCCCAACGCCCCCCTCCCCCCCACCTGTGCCTGCCTGCTTGGGGTAGACACGCCCAGGCAGGGAGGAGCTCCCTGCTCTCTGAATCTGGTAGCATCCCACTCTTCCATCCCTTTCCTCAGATGGACCCAGGAATGAGGTGTGTGAGCCTCTGCCCTTATCCAGCCCCCACCCAAACCATCATTGACCCAGACCTCCCTGGGCCTGTGATTGCCTGCTTGGGGTAGACACACACAGACAAGGAGGAGCTCCCTGAATCTGGAAACACTCCACTCTTCCATCTCTTTCTGCCAACCGATCCACAACGAGTGAGGAGATTACCAGGAGAGGCAAGACAATCCAGAGTTGTGGACATTGAATTCCTGGCACCCACATACCACTGGGTCACAAGAGGAGATAGAGAGACCCTACCTGTACCCACTAGAAGAAGATATTCGAAGAAGACAGAATAAGATTTCACTCAACAACAGAAAGACCAATATGACACGACCAGAATCTAGGCACTCCAATCTAGCAAGATTTGAAAAGCCCAACACAGAACATGAAGATGAGATGGACCTCAAAAATTATCTCAGCAAGATGATAGAGACCTTTAAAGAGGAAACAAGAAAATCCCTTAAAAAAATAGAAGAGAAAGCAAACAAAAAATTACATGAAATGGAGGAAAAGACAAACCAAAAAATAAACAAATCTCTTAAAGAATCTAAAGAAACACAAGAAAAAACTTCCAAACAAGTGAAGGAAGTTCTTGAAACAGTTCAAACATGAAAGCTGAAATAGACACAATAAAGAAAACATAGAATGAGACAGTTGGAAATGGAAAGGTTGGATAAACGATCAGGAACTAAAGATGTAAGTGTATCCAACAGGATTCAAGAGATGGAAGAGAGAATCTCAGCCACTGAAGACTCGCTAGAGGATATACATTCATCAACCAAAGAAAACCTCAAGTCCAACAAATCCCTAACACAAAATATCCAGGAAATATGGGACACCGTAAAAAGGCCAAACCTAAGAATAATAGGTGTAGAAGAAGGTGAAGAAATACTGCTCAAAGGTACAGAAAACATATTCAACAAAATCATAGAAGAAAACTTCCCCAACCTACAGAAGGATATGCCTATGAAAGTACAAGAAGTTTACAGGACACCAAACAGACTGGACCACAAAAAGAAGTCCCCCCAACACATAATAATCAAAACAACAAATAAGAGAATACAGAATAAAGAGAAAATATTAAGAGCAGCAAAGGAAAAAGGCCAAGTAACATATAAAGGCAAACCAATCAGAATCACACCCGACTTCTCAATGGAAACTCTGAAAGCCAGAAGGTCTTGGATAGATACTCTACAAGCACTAAGGGAGCACGGATGCCAACCCAGACTACTGTACCCAACAAAACTTTCAATCACTATAGATGGAGAAAACAAGATATTCCATGACAAAAACAGATTTAAACAATACATATCGACAAATCCAGCACTACAGAAGGTTCTGGAAGGAACACTCCAACCCAATGAACATAACTACACTCACAAAACACAGGCAATAGATAATCTAGTTTTACCAAACACAAAAAGAAACAGGAGGGCGAAATCCACACACAATGACACGACCAACAATAAATCCAAAACAAACAAGAACCAATGAACAATGGACATGAACATCCCTAAATGTCAATGGTCTTAACTTACCCATAAAAAGATATAGGCTAACAGAATGGATCAGAAGACAGAATCCATCCTTCTGCTATTTATAAGAAACACACCTCAACATCAAAGACAGGCGATACCTCAGAGTAAAAGGATGGGAAAAAATTTTCCAATCAAATGGGCTCAAGAAACAAGCTGGT